CTTTGCTGCGACGACGGATTTGTCGAACGTTCGTCGTGAAAGGGATTCTTTGACCTTTCTAGGATTTTATTAAGACGTAATATTACATTGCTATATCATAACAGGGGGTTTTCCATAACTTTTTTATTAATTTTTGTTTAATAAAAAAGTTTTTTTTTGTAACTTCCTGTTTCACCGGAAATGACTATAACTTTTAATTTTTAAACGGCACCCTCGGTATATTTCTACTTTATTCGATAGAAAATGACACTCTGAATAGAATGACATATCATATGTCAACTTTTGACATTTTCGCATATGGTTTAATTGTAATTGTAACACGCGGTTCATAACGACAATTTGACTCGAAATACCAAGTGTGTGGTATCAATATATTCATAAAAAATGCTTTTCCAAATATGCTAATGAGTCACCCTTGTTCCATTTGAAAAATTGACATATGTATGATTAAAAATACGATTTGTACATCTTTTAACCGGCCTAGACAAGACACGAAACCTATTAGACGATCAAAACTATTTTCCAAGGCTACTTGATTAAAACTTAGTGGATTGAAAAAACTGGATTGAAATTTAAAATAGGATATGTTTTTAAGCGATAATGTCAAAAGTTGACATATGATATGTCATTCTATTCAGAGTGTCATTTTTTATCGAATAAAGTAGCAATATACCGAGGGTGCCTTTAAAATCAAAAGATGTAATCATTTCGGTGAAACAGGAAGAGACCAAAAACAATTGAATACGTCAATAAATCCTAATTTATGTCATATACCTACTAACATACAAATCTGTTTTTTTTTATCTGAAAAATAAAAAAGTTATAGGGTTGAGCCACTTTTGAGACGACCCGGTATATTAAAAATATTGTTTCATAATGTAATATCATTTTAAAATTCTTGTATGTTATTTTAGATTCTGAAGATAATTTTAGAATAAACCGGAATATATTTTTAATAAAAACATTATTAATTATTAACAGGGTTATAATTATGATTTTGTTACAATGTAAGTAAGTAAATAATGTAATGTAAAAGAAAAAATTCAGATTTTACATTTTACTAAAATATTATCTAAATAAGCGCCTTTCTACAACGCCACTGACTGCCAATGAGTAAATTGAGAGTTGCTTACAGGTCAAAAGTCGTTTCAAGACTTAAATGGATTATTTAAGTCAAATTTCTTGCAAATTTGGCACTGGCGAACCATATTTTATAGTTTTTGAACAGAAAAAGTCAATAAAATAAACACTTAAGGACTACAAGCTAAGAAAATGCGTTAATACAGCCGGGGAGATAGCGGCAACAAAGCTTTACCGCACACGTGCGACACGTACTACAAGGTAATAAATGAATGAATAGGCTCCCTCGCCTCTAATCGGTGTTGTCATATTGTAAAGAACTTATCCTTATTAAACAGTATCCGACTTATAATTTAGTAGTATAAGGACTATTTAATACATCTATGGAATATTAAAACCTACTTTATTAAACTGTAGTATTAATTTCTCAATATATGTGTATAACAAGAAAAAAATATTGATAATATTAAAGACGTGACAACATAGGCTGGATGAGGAAGGCTCGGTCGACTGTACCCAGAAGTAAACATGTGTACAAAAAAGGTTGTTTGTCCGCGTTGAGATGTAAATAGTGTAGTCTATATTTTATTTTAAGTCTATGCATATGCCATTCAAAAAAATATCCATATTGTTCAATTGCCACTAATAAAAAAGACTTAAAATAGGGAAGAATTAGGGCATAACCCCAAAAGTTATGTCAAATCATCGAACTTGACATTTGAAAAGTTATGACACATTTATACACATTTATTATGTGTCATCCATGGTACAAGGAAAACAAGGTATGATATTGCGCAGGTTGGTCGCTACGTCACAGGTGATAACAGGCGCTATTGGTCAGCACGCTCCGCGCGCCAATTCAAATCATTAAGATATTGTAATGAACCTGTTTTTTTGTTTATATACCGTCATTGAACTATCGCTAAGCAAGTTACTGTGGAGCAGTGCGTGAAGAGTCAGACTAGGAGGCGAGAGACCGGAGTTCGAATCTCGGCTGGGGCATAACTTTTTTATTTATTTTTTTAAGTACTGTTGTATTCTATAGTTTATTTTTGTAGTATAAAAAAAAAACAATTTATTCTGTAATTTTTTAATCTCCGGTATTAATATAGATTGATTGTTGGTACAATACCTCATTTAATATAAAATATTATTCTACTTTTTGAAATGTATCGGGCCCTAATTGTACCTAAAAGTAATATATTTTTACACTAATATACATATTGTAATCTATTTAATATTTCAGTCCCTTAAAAAGTTAATGTGTATTGAATAATTGCCTACCATTAAAGGAAATGTGAGCTATAATCCTTGATGGGCATATTCTGGGTATGCAAATACTTCCTCTAAATTTTGGGTTTCGTTCAACCGATTTATTCGCAAAACCTGAAACATCTGCATATAAAAAGAAGCACAGGTCACTAATTATAATAAACTTCACCCTTGGAATTACTTCTATTACAATTACAATACATTCATCTGCATTGGCATTTTCTACTTTTAGATGGGAAACAATCAACTTCCCAACATTTTTTAAATGATGTAACAATTCCTCTTGTTTTCCATAACTTTTCCATAGATATCCTCATCTCTGTCCTCATGTCAGTTCAGAGACGATTAACATGAAAATTATTTACCATAAACATCGCAAACTAAAAACCTAATAAACAATTTTATACCGAATATAGAAATAAATTTAGTATTCTTACCTATTATCGTCCAAATCCATGTTAATAGATAGGTAATTAATATTTTGGATTTTTGTCTTTTATTTTTAAATATATCTTTCGAACTGCTGGTTTTAGTAATTATTAAATTAAACGAACTAAAAAGTCAGAAAAAATAAACAATTCTTAACCATAACCTTAAAAAATGCAGATCTCTTGCCAACTTTCTTTATTTTTTATTTATTCCTTATTTTGACGTCACAGGTGGTATGCGCGAACTGAACGAAATTGGAGCCGCTATCAATCATACCTTGTTTTCTTTGTACCATGTACTACAAGTGTGCTAATTTCTGCATTAAGTTCATTAGACCGAAGGAATTCGCTCCGATTCGTTCTTTCCTTCTTCCTTCAAGGAAAGAACCATGCGACGACCGGTTTCGGGGTTTCAGGATTTATCCCCATTTATCCCCAAACTTTGCTGGATTGTTCGACCTGACAAACAAAACGCATAAATCGCACTTGAGCACGAAAGATACCACTACAATGGCGAGGACTAAATGTTCTCGCCATCTAGCAACAGTCTAGTCGCACCTACTGTACGAATCGTACCACCATAGTCCAAGAAAATAGGCCTTCAAATACGAAGTTTGATATAATTTACTTTGAAAGATCCAGAAAACGAATTGTTAAAGATTTTTTAAATTCACCCCCGAGAAGGGATGAAAAAAATAAATAAAATTAAGAAACGGTATTTGTACCACAATGGTATGTTCTGGGGTGGTGAAGAAGAGACTAGACGTATTTTAATCACACACTAACATTTATTATACTAATTATACTAACTAAAAAACATATGTAAATGTACAGAAAAAAATATATATATCGTCTATGTTAAAAGTCTCTTTTACACTGGTTTCTGTCGCGCGGGACGCGGTCGCTTCGGATTCTTCTTGCGACGTTGCCGGTACGCGTCATACCGCCCACCTTGAATGGTTGTAGTCATTTAAGTCATTCAACGCAACCACAAAACCGATGCGATAACTATTAGTGCGGGTCACACACGTTACTCTGCTACAGGCAAAACGCATATTTTGCGAACCGCACGTTTTGCGACGCCTTTTGCCGTTTTTATAGTCACTACACGGACAACACCATCCGCACCTGGATGTATCTCCGATATACGACCCAAAGGCCATTGTAATGGCGGTAAATTGTCATCCACTAGTACCACCATCTCACCCAAGGACACTCTGGTTGGGGTCGAATGTCCTTGGCCTGATCGCTGCTGAAGCTCGGTGAGGTAATCTCGTGACCATCGCTTCCAGAAATGCTGCGTGATCTGCGTCAGATGTTGATACTTGGAGAGACGTCCCGTGTTCAAATGGGAGAGGTCGGGTTCAGGTACCGCTACCAAGGAGCTTCCAATCAGAAAGTGGCCAGGTGTTAACGGAGTTAAGTCGTCGGGATCGCTCGACAATGGCGAGAGCGGCCGCGAATTTAGACAAGCTTCTACCTGTACCAAAACCGTATAAAAGTCCTCATATGTCAGAGTAGATTGACCGATAACCCTTCGTAAATGGTATTTGACAGCTTTAACTGCCGATTCCCAAATTCCGCCGAAATGGGGAGCGCGCGGGGGGATAAAATGCCACGATATTTGTTCAGTGGCACAGAATTCTGCAAAGCTATTCTGGTTTTGGACTTGCGTAAAAAACCTTTTTAATTCGTGATTTGCACCAATAAAGGTTGTGCCATTATCTGAATACATGTTTAAGCATTTGCCCCTTCGCGAGATAAAACGTTTGAATGCATTCAGGAATGAGTTGGTAGTTAAATCCACCACCAATTCCAGATGCACAGCCTTAGTAAACAAACATATAAAAACACAGAGGTATGCCTTTACAAGTTGTCTACTTCGTGACAATCCTACCTTTATAAAAAAGGGACCGGCATAGTCCACGCCACAGTTAAGAAACGGTCTAGAGGGTGTTATCCTTTGTTCAGGCAATTGCCCTAATAAGGTATCGACCGTGATAGGTTTTGCCTTAAAGCATATAACGCAATGTTTTAGTGCTCTTCGAACTTTATTTCTACCCGCAATAGGCCAAAAACGCGTACGCAAATGAGTTAATAATGCTTGAGGACCCGCATGCAACAACTTACGGTGCTCATAAGTTATCAACAGTTTCGTTAACTTATGACCCTTAGGAAGAATCATTGGGTGTTTGAAATCAAAATCGAGATTTGATCTTTTCAATCTACCGCCACTCTTAGTACACCCTCATTGTCCATGAATGGATTTAAATTTCTTAGTTTACTTTTAATATTTACAGCGCGCTTATTTTTCAGACTGGATATTTCTTCGCGAAATTCGTGCTGTTGAGCAAGCTTCACCAGACATTTCAACGAGTTGTCGAGTTCTTGCGTTGTTAAAGGGCCTTTTTGAGGCGAAATCTTTAATGTGTTATTTTTAAACCGCAAAATATATGCCACAACTCTCTGAAACTTTAAAAAAGAAGAAAATCTGTCAAATAATGACGTATCAGGTTTAGTAACAACCATAACCTTACTAATATTTTTCCTTTCCGGAACTTCAGATATCTTTATTGGCATACTTGTGGGCCACTTGTAACTCTCCCATTGCATCCAATGCGGGCCGTGCCACCACAACTGGGAATCGTTTAATTCGGTCGGGTTGATGCCTCGCGAAATTATGTCCGCAGGGTTATCTTCCGAGCGTACATGTTTCCAACTGTATTTATCGGTCAAATCTTGAATCTCCGCAGCTCTATTTCCAACAAATGTCTTCCATTTGTGAGGCTCATCGAGGATCCAAGTGAGTGTTATACTGGAATCGCACCAATAGAAAAATTGGTCTACGTGCAATTTCAACGACTTGGTTACAAGGCTACTTAATTTTGCACTTAGTAACGCTCCGCACAGCTCTAAACGTGGCAGAGTCATGGTTTTCAACGGAGCCACTCTGGATTTTGCGCAGAGTAAATTGCAGTTATACACTCCAGAAGCATCCTGTGATCTTAGGTAAACGCATGCTCCGTAAGCAGATTCGGATGCGTCACAAAATGAATGCATTTCGACCTTGATTGGACGATGACACATCACATGGCGAGATATTGAAATATTTTTCAGCGATATGATTTGATCCTGATAATATTTCCAGGCAGTGTAAATTTGTGAGGGCACACTCTCATCCCAGTCGAGGGAGAGTTGCCATAATTGCTGGATTAGAATTTTTGCCCTTATTATTATGGGCCCTATCAATCCAAGCGGGTCAAAAATTTTGGATATAAAAGACAAAATAGTTCGTTTGGTTACGTATTTCTTTCTATCGCAAATGGCATGTAAACTGTACTGAAAGGTGTCATCCTCACTATTCCACACAATTCCGAGTGTTTTCGTCTCTTTATTTTCCGAAAAATACAGTTGGTTATTTTCTGGCATGTTTGGCTCAATAATTGAAGCCTCGTTGGATTTCCATTTTCTCAGTTCGAAAAGTCCTTGAGATAAGATGCCTGTGATATCTTTTTTAATTTGAAGCACATCTTCTATGGTGTCGCCTCCAGAGATTAGATCATCCACATAGAAATCTTCTTTGATTACATTACTTATTTTGGGGTTCCGTTTTTGATTTTCAAGAGCTAATTGATGCAGACATCTGACTGCCAAAAAAGGCGCACACGAAGTACCATAAGTCACTGTGTTTAAAGTGTAAGCCTTCAGAGGCTCATCAGCATTCTTCCTCCAAAGAATTGATTGAAGATGTCGCTGATTATCATGCACATTTACTTGGCGGTACATCTTTGCACAATCAGCTGTTATGACATATTGATGTTTTCGGAATCTAAGTATAATGGAAAACAGATCCTGTTGAATTGTAGGCCCTGTCATGAGTGCGTCATTAAGTGATAATCCTGATTCCGTTTTCGCAGAAGCGTCGAACACAACCCTGACCTTGGTAGTTGACGAGGACTCTCTAAAAACACAAGTATGCGGGAGATAATTCAACGTTGGATCTTCAGTATGAACTTCTGACATGTGGCCTAGCGTTTGATATTCATCAAGAAAGTCGGCATATTGTGCGTGTAACTCAGTGTTACTGCGCAACCGTTTTTCTAAAGACTTAAACCGCTTTAAGGCCATTGATTTTGACTCGCCTAACTTTGAACTGTCTATTTTTAATGGCAGTTGAACTGAAAATCTTCCATTTTCTTCACGTTTATGATTTAATACAAAATCATTCTCACAAGCCTTTTGCTCTAGGGACCAAACTGGTGATGATTCGACGTGTTCTATTCGCCAAAAGTTTTCTAATTGCTTTTGTAGTTCTGAATTGATAGAAAAATGACACACTGTCTTGCTTGGGATATTTACTGAAATGTTAGCTTGACCCGATAGAATCCATCCCAATTTGGTCTTTTGCGCAATAATCTGAGAATTTGTTAATTTTATCTGTCCAATACACAGCAAACTCCAAAAAATTGATGCGCCGAGTAAAGCATCAATTTTGGATGGCACATTGCACGATGGATCAGCCAATTTTATATTTTCTGGTATCTGAAGATTCGAAAAGTCAATGGTGTTCAAAGGCAGATTATCCGTAATTTGATCTATTACCAAAAAGGAGAGATCTGTTTGGAAATTATTGTGAACAGATTTAATGGTTGCCTGTACTTTATGGGAAATGTCTAGAGAAGCTTTACTCAGCCCTGAGACCGCAAGGTTTAATGTTTGCTTAGACAAATTAAGTTTCTCACATAGTTCTTTCGTAATGAAGTTACTCTGCGAACCTGAGTCCAGTAGGACCTTACATTGGTGATATCTACCAGAACTATCACACATAAAAACAATTGCTGTCGATAACAAAATCTCATCATTTTTGAAGGTAGTATGAGCTGATACTGATTTTTCTTGAACTGGATTATCAGTGCTTTTATTATTTTCAAAATGCAAGAGTACATGATGTTTTTTATTACAAACCATGCAAAGGTTTTCGGTTGTGCATGTCTGATATGAGTGACCAGCACCAAGGCAATTTGCGCATAACTTATGTTTCTTAGCCTCAGCGTATCGCGTCTTCGGAGACAAACTTAAAAACTTATCGCAAATTGTAATTTTGTGAGTTTGTTTACATATGACACACGCGGCCATCGCAAAATAATTTTGAGATTGCTCTTTATGATTAAAACTTTTTGTATTTTTGAAAGATGAGATATTAGATGGACTTTGTGATTTATTTTCCGGTTTTTTATAATTTATTGTTTGTAACAGAATGCACCTTTTATGAAGAAAATCGGTAAAATCCTTTGTTGAAGGTATAGTTAAGGGTTCCGAGACTACCTCCCACTCCCTTCTGGTGGAATTGTCAAGCTTTGAACAAATTAAGTATATAAGTAGAGTGTCCCATTTGTCAACAGGCTCTTGCAATGATTCTAGTGCTCTCAAATTTTTATTAAAATTATCTAATAATTGCCTCATACTGACATGTGACTCTCTGCTTAACTGAGGTAGTTCAAAAATTGCCTTTACGTGATTGTGTATAATGAGGCGTTTATTGTGATATCTATCCTTGAGCAACTTCCATGCTATGTGATAGTTTGGAGAAGTAGTTTCAAGACCAGATATCACATCAGCTGCCTCATTCTTTAAAGAACTGCGAAGATAATGAAATCGCTCTATATCGCTTAAAGTAGGATTGTCATTTATCAAGGCATTGAAAGAGTCATGAAAACTCATATATTCATCATAATTACCGGTAAAAGTAGGTAAATCTATTTTCGGAAATTTAATACCTGGAATATGGTGTGGAACCACCTGTTGAATGGATTGTGCTGAGTTTGAATTAGTCAAATTTAATTCTAAAATGCCGTTTGCATTTGCAATCACTTGATAATATTTATCTTCAAACTCCGCACGTTCGTCAACGTTTGTGTCCTCGCCATTAACCTCCTCATGCATCTCTATTTGCATTTGAACCTCATCGAATTCTTGCCACAACCTTTGACATTGTGCCATTCGTACTTTTAATTGATCATACTCATCATTGAAGTTATTTATAAAATTTTCAAAACGCGTAATTTGACCTTTTATATTACCTCGCTTTTTCTTAAGAGTTTGTAAATTATTAGGATTCATTTTTTTTATTTACTTAAGAAACAATTAGTTATAATATTTAAAAATAATAAAATAATACTATCGTAAAACTATTTCGGATACGGGCAAAAACTCTGAACTTTATACGGAATTAGCGCAAATAGAAACAATCTAAATATAATGCGGATAAAAAGGTTTATACGACCTGGTGAATCAATGCTCCTCGACGATGTTTCCCTCCAAAGCGGTACGGAACCATTCGATACGCTGAACACCCTCACCCACGGCTTAGATCCTTTTTCCTTGAATTCGACAACGCTGCCAATCTCGTCCCATATGATCCTTAAGACGGCGTTCTAGCCTCGCGATTCCACTCTATCGCGCTCTCTCTGACGTACAAGGGTAACTCCCTACGAACTTGACGCCTGGGAACAAGGCTACTGCACCGGGAAGACTCTGGAAGACGGTCTCGAGTTAATGGCTGCTTCGTCGGCCGGCGAAATTACCGATACACTTTACGATTTTCGCTGATTATCCGGCTCGAAGGACCATTGTACCACAATGGTATGTTCTGGGGTGGTGAAGAAGAGACTAGACGTATTTTAATCACACACTAACATTTATTATACTAATTATACTAACTAAAAAACATATGTAAATGTACAGAAAAAAATATATATATCGTCTATGTTAAAAGTCTCTTTTACGCTGGTTTCTGTCGCGCGGGACGCGGTCGCTTCGGATTCTTCTTGCGACGTTGCCGGTACGCGTCAGGTATTTTGGTAAACTAGAAAAAAAGTTCAAATAAAAGTAGTGGAGCGTTACATTTTACATAGAAATGATCTCTATATTTTTTTTGCTCAGATCAAAATTAACCGAGATAGGATGGCTAGACCCTAGCTTCTAGCCACCCTAGTAGTAGGTGATAGTAGAAATTTAAAAATTATATAAGTTGCTGAAAAATTCATATACATATTTAACATTTTTATTCAATTTGCTTGGGAATTTATACATTATACAAAATTATAAATTATACATTAAGATTTTTTTTAAATCACAACGAGAAGGACTGAAAAACATAAATAAAGTGTATTTTTTTCCAAATTGCAGAGAAACTATAAGGACTTGAAGAACATGTTACAATAAAAGATGTCCTCTAGCTTCTAGCTACCCTATCTCGGTTAATTTTGATTTGAACAAAGAAAGTAGAGACGAACGATATTTTTGTACGATTTTTGCGCCACCTTACATGGTCACCACATGCATGCAACCGACAAAAAAACAGGGTAGGTTAACTTAACGACAAAACGAACATAGAAGCTGAGGTGACGAGAAATCAGTGTTTCTCCCGAATGTACGGGATGCGGAAAATCGATAGTGTAATGAGAAGGAGGAATTGTAGTAAAAGGTCGGTTTTATGCGGCGTTGCCGAGACGCGGTGTGAGGACTGTAGAGAGGTGAGGAGATGTGAGGTACAGATGCTTCATCCTTAGAAAGATGGAGCGAGCAGATCTCTTAGGTGAAGCTTGATAATTTAAGGTACAGTTTGATAGAGTTGGAGAACATTATATATTATTATTATAATTATATATATATATTTAACATTATATATTATAATTATATTTAACGTTTTATGTAAAACTGGCTAAGTATTTTTACACAAATGAAGAAGGAAATTAAAGATAAAGGATTATACTATATCCGTATTATAGTACATTTTTAGTACATTTTTAGAACTTCTTTATTTTTAAAATTTTGATGGTCAACATCAACAAAATATTCCATATGTTTGTACTAAATTTTCTCGAAAATAAAGACATAATTTAAAATTCCATTACAATACGGAAATAGATTGAAGTTTTGTGATTACAATGATATATAATTTGTATGGTTTTGTAACAAATTGCTCGCTATTTTATGGCAAACGCTGAAGCTCTGCAAATATATGATATCTGATATTTTTAATTATTTTTATTTATATATTAATTACTCTTTTCGATATAGTCTATAAGTAATTATATTATTTGTCAAAAATGTTGCCGACCTAGCATTAAAATTTTATTTCCTTAAGTTCGATCGCGATTCAACGTAACGTGTTGGATAGGGTTTCCACCTCAGACCGGAACGGCCTTTAAAATAGCAACGTCGCATTTGTTCTTGTCGCCGATTACTGGCCTTGTCTTTTATATAACCCTTTGCCGTTGCCAAGTCTATTTCTTATTTCTCTATTAGACGACATGGTTTAAGCTATATTATCATTTTGAGAATGTTTCAGTTTTAGATTGAGCTCAGAAAGTAGTGATGAGCTGTAAAGACCAAGTCTCTCTTGTAGTTAATAAGTAGTCTCGGTTTTGAGCGGTCATGGTCAGCAGTCTTGGTCTTCCTGCAAGACTCTTGCAAGTCTTTTGCATTTTTTAAATAGGTTTTTACTTGGGGCACTTTTTACATAAAAAAATATTTAAATAAAAAGTATTTTTAGTAATTTAATCTAAATAAAACTGTAAGGAAAGAAATTTTTTGAATATTTGTCAGGTGCCTCTCAAAAGTGGTTCACCCCTATAACTTTTTTATTTTTTCAGATAAAAAAACGAGATTGGATATGTTAGTATATGACATAAATTAGGATTGATTGACATATTCAATTGTTTTTGGTCATTTCCTGTTTCACCGGAAATGACTACAACTTTTGATTTTTAAATTACACCCTCGATATTTTTTTACTTTATTCGACAGAAAATGACACTCTAAGTATTGTATTGTATTGACTAGGAGTGGGTCCCATGGGGGGACCTCCACTGAGGCCGCGAGGGCCTATTGTGGCTCAGTTTCTACACGCTCTAATTTACAAGAGCGTCAAAGTTCACCCTCAAGACCCAGCCTCCTAATATAGGCCGTTATGTCTGAGGGCGATATGTCTCCTAGGTCTGATAGGTCTAGCATGGGCTTTGCCAAACATCTCAAACCTGGTCCTGCTCCCAGCGGGCAGGTACACATAACGTGCTTCATTGTTTCGTCATCTTCCATACAGAGTCGGCATTCGGCGTCTTCCACCAGTCCCGTCCTCTGTAGGTGAGATCTCAGCCGGCAGTGGCCCGTGTACACTGCAGTGAGCACACGCGTTCCATTCCTACCAGCCTTTAGGAGTTCTCCTGTTCTATGTTTGGATGGCCCTGCTAGGATATGTTAGTATATGACATAAATTAGGATTGATTGACATATTCAATTGTTTTTGGTCATTTCCTGTTTCACCGGAAATGACTACAACTTTTGATTTTTAAATTACACCCTCGATATTTTTTTACTTTATTCGACAGAAAATGACACTCTAAGTAGAATGACATATCATATGTCAACTTTTGACTTTCTCGCGTATGGTTTATTTGAAATTGTAACATGCGGTTTATAACGACCATTTGGTTCGAAATACCAAGTGTGTGGTACCAAATTATTCGTAAATAAATGCTAATGAGACACACTTGTTCCATTTGAAAAAATTGAGATATGATCAAAAATACGATTTGGACATATTTTAACCGACCAGGACAAGACACGTAAAACGTTAAGGCGCATTCTCGCGACTCGTGTACTCGACGAACATTTGTAATTGGTATACAGGGTATACATGGTGCGTCCGGCATCTATACAGAAAAAAGTTATTTATTATAGGAGCTACGCCGCACTCCCGCCAGACCCTGTAGGCCAATAAAAAATACTTGCCAAGTAGACGAGTCATGAGAATGCGCCTTTAGATGATCAAATCTATTTTTCCAAGGCTCCTTGATTGAAAGTGGTTGAAAAGTTGACATATGATGTGACATTCTATTTAAAGTGTCATTTTCTATCGAGTAAAGTAAAATTATACCGATAGTATCATTTAAAAATCAAAAGTTGTAGTCGTTTCCGGCTAAACAGGAAGTGACCAAAAACACTTATTGAGTACGTCAATCAGGCTTGATTTATGTCATATACTAACATACCAAATTTCGTTTTCTTTATCTAAAAAAATAAAAAAGTTATTGGGGTGAGCCACTTTTGAGACACATCAAAATTTTATGCAATAATCAGGAAAACACTATTGTAGAACTAGTCGGTCTTGGTCTTGGTCGTGCACAAAAACCAAGACAATATTACTCTCGCTTATCACTATCAAAAAGTCAAGTAAAATAATTTAGTGTGATTATTATTTATTCAAAGTACATGTTTGTATTTATACAACCAAAATAAAACAAAAAATACCATAATATACACTTCTTGCTGTTATAAAATAAGATCAAGAAAAAAATCCTGGGAAAGAAAGGAAAAAAGTACATCCATTTATTTTTTGATTGTACTTAAACAGCCGTTAAACGGTAGCCTACTAAAATGCCGTTAATAGATCTTGTGACGTCGCTCATGTCGGCGGAAAGTAATGCCTAGCCTTAAGCATTTTGCAAGAGTACCTGTGGGTCAGTGGCTGAGGCTATCGCTTCGTAAGCGAATGATCCGTGGTTCAAATCTCACGCCGACCAAGACTTTTTTATATTTTTTTTTGCTTATAGCGTGATCTTATTGCATTGGTTTCACTCTTTTTGGTTGGATTGGTTTAGTTATTTGGCGGGTTGGTTAGCGTGGTTATTTGGAGGGTGTTAATTCATTGGTTAGTTGGTTATTTGGTGGGGTTGGTTGATTTTTACTAATTTATATTTGTTTTTTATCAGTGTCGAGGTTAGTTGCGTTGGTTAAGTTGGTTAAGTTGGTTATTTGGTGGGGTGGATAGCGTTGGTTAGTCCTTATAAAATTCCTATATTTCATAAAGCCGTCAAGTGCGTCACATCAACAACGTCATACCTATTAACGGCATTTTAGTAAGCTACCGTTTAACGGCAGTTTAAGTACAGCCTTATTTTTTACGTACCTAATATCGTATGGGAATAATTGAAAAATAAAAAAAATATCTGTATTGTATTATGTGTTGAGTGATGTTTTATACCGAGGCAAGGTGAACAGGTCCCAACACTGACACGAACGACAAATTCTCCCCTCTGTCTGAAGTTTACCCTAGT